CCCCCCCCCCCCCCCCCCCCCCCACCCCCCTAGCATTCTGGGTGCCCTACATGACGTGTGTCTCATGTCACGGTCGGTGTCCCCCCTCCGTTTCTTGGTTGAGCAGGATCTGGAAGCGGGGGTCTTGGTTGCGAGTGGACAGCACCATCGTGGGCGTTGGAGCAAGGTTCAAGCTTAAGCGGGGCCGGCTCAGCCTGGTGTTCATGGGGAAGGACTCCCCGACCCCGGGCGTGCTATTGAGGGTCGACCACACCAAGTCCAAGGTAGAATACACATCGCTGTAAGGACTAGCAGGCTAGTGATCGCCCCCCGTCGCCCCCCGTCGCCCCATCCCACCGTGTTTGTGGATGGCTAAAAATTGTCTTTGATACCTATTATAAATAAGTTCAAAATGTTGTTGAAAGATTTATTAATTTACTTGTTTTGAAAAACGAGTATGGAAGGTCGTCCGTGCAGGAAGACAGACCCCCACCCCTCCGTGCTGGAGTTTGGATGTTTTTCTTCCTCCCCGCCTTCGACTCTGGCGGTCTGTGGTCAACGTACCACAGCATGCATGTCGAGGTCACGACTCCTCCCCACCCCACCTGTTGGGAGTACCTGGCCCCCTGTGTTTTTTTTTTGTTAACCCTCACCCGTGATATCGACATCAAATTTTTGCTGCAACAATGACCGTGTGGAATGACATGGTATCGCACACCCCCGGTCACCCCCCGCATCCCCCTGACCATTCCACCTTCGTTTGGTCCCGATCGCCGTCTGTTTTTTTGGGGGGTGTGCGGCGACGGCGTCGGTGGCTTTCAGGTGTACAACGCTCTGCGCCGTCTCGAGTGGCAGACCAATCGGGAGGTGGACAAGGCCGTCAACAACCTCATGGCTTCGTCGCACAAAGGAGGCGTGGACAGCACGCAGTTCAAGGCGAAAAAGACCGTGTTCAGAGAGTCGCAGAAGCTGGACGGCGGGCAGCAGGTGCAGGCGGTCATGGCCGGCTGGAAGTGCTCCACGTACCAGTACCTCGGGAGCATGCAGATGAAGGTGAGCTTTATTCTATTTATCGTTTTGTCATTTGTGAGCATGAGATTTTTTTTCTCAAGTGAAGACAAAAAAAAAAAAACGCAGCTAAAGGCGAGTTTTCTTCTTGTTTGTGTTAAATGTGTGTTGTGCTCTACGTACCAGTACCTCGGGAGCATGCAGATGAAGGAAAGTTTTTTTTTTTTCTCGTTTCTTGTGTTGTTTGGTGGTTTGGACCTCTGGTTCTGTCATGTTGTAGTGGGGTGGTCAGATGAGGCAGGCAAGCGCACTTTTTGAGCTAAGGGGTTTGCCGGCCTTGTTGCGATGTGTGCACCCCACGCGACTTGGGTATGGGTGCCCCAGCATATACGCTATTCCTTTTCCGCGGAGGGGTCAGGGGTCCGGTAGCAGCAACAGAAGAAGGCGTTGAATTGAAGTCTCTGGGCTCTGACCGTCTGCATCCTCAGCTTTGCGCGCACTCACAGGGGCCATGATCGTCTATACCCTCACGCATGATGTCCATGTATAACCATATTGCAACACCGGTCGCCTACCCTCACGCATGACATGAATTCATTGCAACACTGGATCATTTGCCGTGNGAGGCGATTGCGCCTGTATTTTTTTGTGGCGCACCTTTTCCTGCCTCCTCTCCTTGAGGACATGTGCATGATACGTCACAAGCGCGAATGATGGGAGTCCCCCCCTGCTTTTACTGTGGTCCGGATTCGACGAGCACGTACCCCCCCCCCCCCCCCCCCCCCCCCCCTTCTTCAACGAATGTCCAGACCACTCGGAAAGGGGCCAACGTGGTACAGTACGTGCCGAAGGACATGTACTTCGACTCTAGAGGAGAGAAGCCGCTGCTGGCCAAGGCGAAGGAAGCCATAGCAAGGGAGGAGGCCGCCACCGCCGCTGGGGCGGGGGGGGGAGGGGTCGCGGGGGGCCTGAGGAAGGGCGTCGGGTCGAGCATGTTCCAGAAGCCTTTCTGGAAGAACAACCCGGACCTTAACGAAGACAAGGTGGGTCATGATGGGTTAATCGCTAGCTGGGGTAGGGCTAGCCCGAGGTAGGGTGGGTTTTGCAAGGGGGTTAGCCGAGCGTGTTGTTGTGCTAACTGTTGGGAGTGTTGGGGTCGAGCGAACTATTTTCGGTGTTTGTGTTTGTATTGTGTCCTTGCGAGACCTGTAGAAGACGTCCCCACTTAGAATAGCCCGGGCATTTCGAAGTTCAGGCTCGAATATCAGATATTTACCCCAAGAACAGGCCCTCAGTTGAAGAATCCTACACCTCTGTCGTTGATGTTGGGACACCCAGTAAGTGCCTCCGCGGGCAAATGATGTGAGCATTCTTCGTGGTGGTGCTCGGGACAGGTACAGCCTGGCTGTGATTGGGCGGTCAGTGGTGTTTGCGTTTGGTGCCGCCGTCATTACGAGTCAGATCGAATCGAAGACATCTATGTGTCCCTCGTGGGGGGCGTCGAGCTTTCCGCCGGGTGTGCTTTGCGTGCTGTCATGTGGGGCGATTTTTTTGTTTTGCGCGCTGGTTTTTACTGGAACGATATGGGTGTGTGGCCGGGTGAGATTTACGGGCAGGGAGAAGCACAGGTGCCGAGAGATGTTGCTGTGCACGTTGTGCTTTTGGCTGGGTTGCAGGTGGGCCTTTGTTGTCATGTCAATCACAAGATGCTGTCGCTCGTGCCCAGGCGTTTTCTCGTCTTGTCAATCAATCAATCAATTGTCATCAAGATCAAGACCTCATTGTTGTTCGTTGGTGTTACCGCTCCTCCTGCGTCGTTCCTGCTGTAGTTATCGTGGCAAAACACGTCTTATGTTTGACAGGCCACACACAGCAGCTTCCTTTGGTCTGTTTCTCGGGGAAGCGCGAACCTAACCCGCCCGTTGTTGTGTCCACTATGGCTACATGCTATCTCAACAGGTACACCGTCAGATCAACAAGCAGGTGAAGGCGACTGTGTGGATGGCTCACGACTACCCCCTCAAGCTCAGGCACATCATGCCGGCCCTGGAGATCCTTTCCGTCAGGGTGAGTTGGCCGTTAACGCTGCTGTTGCTGTTCCACACATCAGTTTCTCCGTCAGGGTGAGTTTGCCGTTAACACTGCTGTTGCTGTTTCCGCATGAGTTTCTCCCGTCCGTCAGGTTGAGTTAGCCGTTAACGCTGCTGTTGCTGTTTCCGCATGAGTTTCTCCCGTCCGTCAGGTTGAGTCAGCCCTTGCGGCTTGTGTGTTGTTGTCGTCACCACACTGTCGGTTAGGGTGAAAATTCGCTGTTTCCACGGCGATAGTTAAGTGTTGGTTTGTTTCATGCCGGGCTGATCCCAACTTGCGGGAGACGAGCTTGCAACGCGCATACGCACCCAAGGCTGAGATGTCATCATCGTCTTCTCAACCCTGTTGAGGGTCGTTTCCCTGTTTCAAGGTCGTCTCCCGAGAGTTGGAATCAACCCGCGCGAAGTAAGCCAACACCAAATACTTCACCGTAGCCAATTCCACGCAACCGCTCTCTCTGAAGCATGCTTGTCCATCCGAACCCACACTAAGCCTGCCGCTACTATTATCTAGACTTTCTAGCACCAATTGGCATCTACTGGTAGTTGGAAAGCAATTGCAATCCCCCGCTGCATCCTACGCCATCGTTCTACGCTTACCCCGCCTACCGTGGCTCCTATCTGTTGCCTGCCGCGTTTTACAGGACGATATGGCCGCAAGGCTCCGCTCCGTTCTCTCCCTCGCCGGTATACCTCAGGAAGGATTCCCGGTGAAGGTGTGTTGTGTTGATACATGGTTTGTATATCTGTACGGTAGTCGTCCTTCTCCGCCTTAAGGACGCACGTGATCTTAGTTCGAAACAGTTTGTGCTTAAATTAGACCGGGGAACTGTCCTTTGTTTTCTCATACTGCGGGGGCATCATGCGTCTGCTATGGGATCGTTTATAAACCAGCATGTGTCGTTAGTTCTGGTATGTGCTTTATTTTTAACCGAGGATGGCTGTTGTTCCGTCTCCGGCGATAGTCATGATTATACCGGTGAAAGGAAGTTTTGCCGCCGAAAGGCGCCGTCATCTACTTAGGCTGCGTCGTACGGGGCGTCATCCCACCCCCAAATGGGAACCACGGCAAAAACAGCAATTAAAAAGCGCCCGAATATTGGAGATGTAGCCTATCACCGAAGAGAATGAGAGTATGCATAGTAGGAAACACGATGCTCCTTATTCTTCCCCAAAAGGAATCGTGGTTAGTAGTGGAATTCACATGGTATATGACTCTTGTATATTGAGCAACTTTTCCACAAGTATCCCCCCCCCCCGTCCTACCGTTGCCCTGCGCCCCCAAACAGGTTTCCGTGCCCCTGATGATGACCGTGAAGGCAGTCGTCACCTTCGAGAATTTCAGGTCCGACGGCATCGATGCCAGCAACTTCGTGATCCCGAGCGACTATCAGCGGTCACGCCGCATGTCGAAGGAGAAGTATGTCGCCGGGGTTCGGGCCGGAGGGGAAGGCGGCGGCGAGGGGGGCGGGCGGCAGAACATGGACAGGGGTGTCTCGGGCAATTTTGAGTCGGACGACGAGGAAGAGGAGGAGGGAGGCGTGTTTGTGACGGAGGCCGGTGTCAGCGAGAGGGAGCTGTTGAGGAGACGGGCGGCGTCTCGCAACGCGTTCGATGACGACGAGGTGCGTTGTTGTTGTCGTCATCTTGGCGTTATGAATCGTGTCCTTGGTGCCTCCTTGACCTGATACACGTCACCACGCCGTGATCCGTGAATCATGACCCGCGCCAAGCCAAAGGCGTTGTCTGTTGTTTAAGACTTCGAGGAAATGCACCTCAGCTGCTGCCGAGCCTGTCGTTGTGCTTGTTTGGTGTCTTTGTTTTCTCCCGTTGTCCTGATCCACCGATGGCAATACACGCGGTGAAGTTGCCCTACGTAGAGTGATGTTGTACTTGAGCGCCCCTCACCCCACCATATACGTTGTTTGTTCTGTTTTGTTTTCTTGTTTTGTGTTGTCCCTTAATCCCAACCAACCATATGGTATTTTCAAGCCCCTGATGTAACATATGCTTTTTAGTCACCCACCCGCCAATGCTATCGTTCGTCGCAATGCCTCCCTTTTTTTTTTGTTTTTCTTGACCCTCAGGAGGACGATTCTGACTTCGATGACGGCGACATGTCCGACGAGGGAACGACGCTGGCATCCTCACCCCGACGAAGATCGAGCTTGACCAACGGCAGCGGCACCAACGGCGAGATGTCCGACCCTCAGTCTCCCCTCGCCAGAGGGCAGCCACCGGGCCAACCGCAGGTGTGTGTGTGTGAGGGACAAACTCGAGAGGGCAGACAGACAAAGACGGAGAGAGAGAGAGAAAGAGAGAGACAGAGACAGAGACGGACGGACGAACAGACAGAGGGAGAGGGAGAGGGAGAGGGTGTACTCATACTCATACTCATAGTCGTGCATGCCGTAGTCGTTAGACCATTGACCTCGCATCCCTACAAAGCCGGGACGGAGCACGCCGGGTTCTCACCGGACCAGGCTCTCACATCACCAAGCGCGAGGCGCCGTGAGATATTCGGCGAGTCGCATGAAGGGTGCGCTGCATCCTGCTAAGGGTTTTCGACATCTTGTGCTTACTTCCTTGCATACGGACGACAGCTGCGTATGAATTAATTTTTTTTCTGGTGCTTTAACTTCCAGAGACAGTTGTAAACTCTGTGTAACTGCCTCGAGGGTGCTTGACCATTTCAACACAACGTGGTGCGATCATCCCCCTTGCGCGGAGTGGGGGTTCTCGACCCCGCACAACATGATCTACTCGACCACCATTATGGTTACCGCCAAAAACAAAACGGAGGTAAAAAAAAAAACGGTAACCTGGTTGCCGAGTTCACGAAGTGAATTGGCTTGTTTTACAACGTGGTTGCCAAGCGACGAAAGCCCAATCCCGATGGCAAACACCGGGGGGAGTCGAAAACCCAACCCCGATGGGGCGAGGGAGAGGTTAAATAGCCGCGGGGTTCGTTTTTTCTACTGGTTTAATGTTGTTTACTTCGGTGGTTATGCAAATCGTTTGTCCCCACCCTGCCGGCCAGATGTTACATCTTGAAGCGAGCACAAATGACTCGGTTTAACCGAAATGAACAACAGCTTGCGCCTGAAGCTTAAACAAGTGTTGCAACCCCTCCCCCCCCCGGTCCATCGGATCTCAGGCCTCGGTGTCGGCGAGAACAGCACCAGCCTCCGGCGGCGGCCTTCAAGGTTATCAGCCGGCCGCCCCGTCGTCGGATGGGAGAGGTAGAGAGGACCTGTCGCAAAAATCACAGCAGCGGCAACAACACGCTCAACCTCCTCGCGGCCGATCCATGAGCAGGGACAGCCCGGAGCGACGAGGGGGCCCCGCGAGTGGGACCGAAGGTGGGGGTACGGCAGAACGCCACGTCGGGGGGGCTGGGGAAGCTCCCGCCCACCAGCGGCAGCGAAGCAAGTCTCGGAGCGGTAGGCTGGTGTCCCAGCTCAAGGGCATCGTCGGGGCTGGGAAGGGCAAGTCCGCGCGGAGGGGCGGGAGCTCCGGCGCGTTGATGATGAACGGCAGGGGGGGGCACTCCCTCAGCGACGACGACGAGGAAGACTCGTTTGAGGACGAGGAGTGGGACGTCCGGCAGCAGCAGCAGCAGCAGCAGCAGCAGCAGCACACCGCGGGCAACGGCAACGGCAACGCTCACGGCAACGGCGGCGGTGGCAGCGGCAGCGGGGGGGTGGTGACAGCGGCGTCTCGGGCGGCCCAGCTGGCAGAGGCGCGAGAGGCTTCCCGGGAACATCGGCGAGTGTCGTCTGCTACGGCGACTATGGGAGCGCCGATGGGAAACAACACCAACTTGGAGAACCGGAGATCGCCACCGGGGTCCATGTCTAATCTTGGAGCGGCGGCGGAGCAGCAGCAGCAGCAGCAGCAGCAGCAGGCGACGGGGTCGCGATTGCCGCGGGTCCCGCCAGCGATGCCGCTTAGCGGCAGCAGGGGCGCGGGTGTCGGCAGGGGCGCCAGCGGGAGAGGGTCCGCGCTGAAGCCGCCAGCGCCGCGGAATTCGGAGTGATGTTTGTTGGTGTTTTGGTTTGGGTACGGAGGTAGGGAGGTATGTTTTGTTAAGTAGTGACGGTGTTCTCCTCAGGTTTTTTAGTACGAAGGAAGGAGCGAGCCGACTGCTGGAGGAGGGGGTGTACAGGCGTGGTGTTTGTCGCAGGGGAGGCGAATCGGGGGGTCGGAGAGGTAAGATTGGCTTTTAAAGTATTTTTGGTGTTTGGTGTGGGATAAGGTTCAGCAGCATCACAGGGGCGTTCATGTCTCTTGGTTCGCGTGGTGGTTTTAATCCCGGATAGCTAGTCAGCTATGTTGGCAGTCACGTAATAACTGCTGTGGTGTACCAGTGGTCTGCAGCATCTGTTGGGGTATAGCGATAGTTATTAGGGTCGATCGAGATTACTTTCAGATGGCCGGAGCGAGAGAGAGAGAGTTCTTTCATGTGTTGCATCTCGTTTTTTCCGGCCCCGTTTACTACGTTCGACCATCATCATCATGATCATCGCGTGTGTGTGTCTCATCTGTATTTTTCATTTTTTATGGTGAAGAATGCATGACTCGTTTCTCGTCGTTTTTCTTTCTTCTTTCCTCGCTGCCTCGTAGTGCTCTGTGTTCCTGGTTGTGTACCGTACACGATTTGACGTACGGACGTCGCTGCTGCTCGCCGATAGCTTCCAAATACCGCAACCTTAACGTGTAGCGTGTCCCCATGGATCGGTCGTATAGAGATAGTTTGTTTGCCGCGGCGATTCGGGCCACGATCATCGTGTGTTACGGGACATCTTGGATGTTTGTTTTTTTCCGTACTCTCTGCTGTCGCGGGGGGGGGGGGGGGGGAGAACCGCATGGATGACTAATAGATGGTAGCTTTCCTTCATTACGGCCTTCTTGTCGCGACAGGTAGCAGCAGCAGCGTCACGTACGGTGTCTCGTCTTTCTGCCGCTAGGGTGTCTGCTTTGTTCTGAACGAGTTTCTCATCACACGTCACACGCTTAAGTGTTCCCTATCCGGACTGGGTTTTTAGTTGAGCTTTTGGCTGCTTTGGACTATGGGCCAGGTCCCGCGATTTTGTTGGCGCGGCTGCGTTTGATAGGGAGAATAGGTGCGTGTACGTGGGGTGTTGTTTGTTCTGTGGTGTTTGTGAGGACAAGAAAATGCTGAAAAGACGAATGTATCCATCCACCCATCCTATCTGGGAAGGCCGTCACGATGTCGACGCCATCTGTCTTATCTGCCCTAGAACCCCGTCAAAATGACGATGCGCACATGCATGTGCACTCCTGAGAAAAGAATGCGGGGGCACAACAGCCAGGAGCGTCTGTCGACAGGTAGCTACGTACGGTTCGTAGCACTGTTGCAGGCAAGGCCCTCACACAGGTGTGAAGTTCCCTACCTTGCCCAGAGGTGTTCCGACAATCATTTCGAGGTGAAGCTACCCTGGAAGACGGGCTCAGTCGTGGCTGCAGCATATCTACGTAAAACTTTTGCCCTCGTGTTCTGTTGTACAAATCTAAGGTTGAGGGTGGTTCCAAGACCTTTGCTTGTAATCTAAACAGCCGACATCGCTGTCTGGTCTTCCTCGCGCGCGATAGAAATCTTACTTGTCCCCCTCTTAGTCCGGCTGGGGTATAGGGTAAAGGCGGGGTGTCCCACGGTCCTGCCCGACCGAGAGCCGTCATGCTGGAACGTCTCGAGCTAAAACGTACCTACATGCCGTTGATTTTACGTCGTCCCAAATCAGCGGTCCCGCGGTTTCGCCACGACGACCGTCCTCTTAGAACATGGCTACAAAAAATTAGGTGCTAGCCGTCTTTCGAACTCCCGGCCTGCATCAACAACACGGGGAGTATTTACACGACTCCTTACTTTTTACCGATCGCTTTACGTCAGCGCTCACACATGGCATTTCTGCCCGGTAGGAGCTCTCTCCAATCCGTGGTAGCGTCTAAGGTTTCCTCTCCCTGAGGTCCCCTACCCACCCCTCCTGCGATGCTTGCCCCACAATTTCAACGCGAGAGGAGGGAAGCACTCTCTTTCCTCAAAAAGTGTGTACAAATGAACTACTCTGTATAAGTAGCGCTCTCCACAAACCAGGCACGACAGCAAAATAGACCAAGAACCTACATACAATTTGAATTCAACAGCAGTGAACTCACGTTCTCGGCTGGAATGCTCTCTCACTCCTTCCACTCAAACACACACATGTGTCCCCCAGCACGCAGCTACACCTTCTTTACGAACAGCAACCTCTCCCAGCTTTAAACAAAAATCAACCAACAATAAGTTCGATCAGGCACGCAATGTGTTACGCTACATGTTAAGCACTGCTTGAAGAAAAAAAAGTCAGCATCAGCATATTCTTCTCAGAAAATTCCAGCCTTGAGCGCCTCTTTCTCCGCCGCCGTTCTTGCCCGCTCTCGTTCGCTCAGCTCCACCTTGTCCCCCTTCCCCTCCTCCCTCTCGACATCGACCATCGTCCAACCAGCCTCCTCCTCTTCTCCAACTCCCTCCTCTTCCTCAGCACAGTCGGAATGGCTGCCGCCCTCCTCCTCGTGTTCGTGTTCGCTTTCTTCGCTTGAGACCAAGTTGTCATCGTTGTCGCTGCGGGAACCCTGCTTTGATTGGCGGGAGGCCCAAGGTTCCGCCGCCGCGCACGCCGCCTGGAGCCTGTCGTCGGCACCAATCCCTGGCGTTTCCATCAACTGCGAAGTTGATATGGTAACATAACGACAGCGAGAAGGAAAGTGTTACGGTTGATACAGCACTTGCAACTCGAGGAGGAGAGACGGTCGTGCGGGATTGGAGCACCAGTGGCGACAAAAGGGTTGTTATGCTCAAGGGAGCCCCGTGTGTCGAAGAGCGGGCACCAACACCCGGAACCGCTCTTGGCGCACACCATCACCATCCTGACAGACCCTTACACAACGCTGACTAAGACATTCCCCGCTTAATCCCTACTAGCGTCATCGCCTTAGCATCGCCTTGTATGCGCAAGCAGCCATCTATCCAAGCAACCCCTACCTGCTTGCCACTAGCGACAGCGCCAGTTTGATGAATTCTACCTGGGACGTGCTTCTATCCTCAACTTTCCCCGCCGGGCCACAACCAAACAAACACGACCAACAAAGATAAAAACACAAAATGGCTCGCACAGAACGCGCCACCAGTTGAGATGAGAGCGTCTCGTACTTGCCCTAGGCTCGCCTCTACTTCTTCATTCACCTGTGGGGCAATTTTCGCCACAACAGGGAATACAGCAGTATTGAAGTGACAGGAATATCATCCCAGCACCATGTCCACGTGCAGAAGTTTCTGCTTATGCAAGCTTGAAGATCTTAACCCCCGTCCTACTTGAAGGCTCTTACAGACGCTCTGTACATGGCGTAAGGGCATGCGCCCCCTCACCTCCAGGATGACCTCCACACCGCTCAGGGGCCGGTCTTCCTCGCCCGTACCACCACCGCCTTCGACAGTTACATCAGCAGCAGCAGCGTCGTGGTCGCACGAGGAAGGGCCGCGGTAGGCCACTACGAAACGCTCCGCCACCGCTGCCTCGAGGCAGCCGGTTACTCCCTTTCGCCTGAAGAAGGACTCTACCACGGACATGTCACGGCGGAGGAGCTCTCGGGCCTTGGGGTGTCCGGTGTCCACAGCCTGGCCCACGTCGATAACGTGGCACACCTGGAGAAAGAGAGAGGAGAGGGGGGTGGGGGGGCGGGCGGGATCTATGCCGTTTCACGTTTGTACACCCTTTGTTGCCTTTCATGCTCTGCTATTGGATACTAAGTATACAGTTGCACTTTATTAGGAAACATACGTACAACCAAAGAGAAGAGTACCCGTTCGAGATAAAACCGCATCAGTTGAAGGGGATGGGGTACAGTGGTGAGTGGGAGAAAAAACGGCGGGATACTGGGCTTATTTAGCTTTTCGTATTCTGCCATCGGTGGTTGTCGAGTAACAGTTTTTTTTTCCTTGGGCTGTTGTCTCATGGTGGTGTTGAGCTTCCCGCGAAACAAAAACACAAGAATCGGCGCCCTCACCTTTTCGTGATAGAGCACATTGTACTCGGACAGGTCTGCGTGTACCAGGTGGCACTTCACGAACATCAACCGCGCCAGCTCAAGCACCTCCGCGTAGCACCTATTGCGGGGAGAAGCGAAAGGGAGGGAAGGAGGCGGCGCGCTCAGCATCTACCGCAGCAGCATTTGCTCGTACTCTCCTTCACCAACCCTACGGGCGGCTTACCTCGTGGACAGAAGAAAGATGGCGTCGCCATGGTCGGTCCATACAAGCACTGGGGTTGGTTGCACCGAAAAAAAGGACAGCTTGCCCCTCCCGGCGCATGTAACTGTGTCACTATTCTTCTCCGTTTTCAGAACGTCACTCCCGGTGAGTGTAACTCTCACGCATCCTTTTTCCATTTTCAGAACGCCCCTCGAGGTGCATGTAACCGTCACCATCCTTTTCTTCGTGTACTTTTCGTTCCGTCTTTCTCACTAACCTGCGCCAGTTCGCCTTCGAGAGGTCGATCTCCCGCAGCTGCGGCGCGGGCCAATGGTCCTTGCCGATGAACGACAGGACGAGTGTGTGCTCCCGCTGCTTTATCGGCTCCGGGCAGGGGATGCCGGCGCGGTGAAGGCGGAGCAGGTTGCGGTGTTCCTTCTTGGCCCAGATGGCGAACATCTTCTCCCGGCTCTGCTTGTTGAATCTCATGTTACCGTACCTTTACGTGACAAGAAAAATGTGGTAGATCGGGATGGAAAACGGCTGTTGCTTAACATGAAGGGGTCTAAAGGGAGAAAAAAAATTTAATGGAACTCTCAGGTCGATCTCTCGCTTTCTCCGTGTCTAAACAACTGAACGACGAGCTCATCCCTAAGCAAACGTTACCCTAAAAAAAACACCACAAGCAAAATAAGCAAGAAAAGACGCACACAATTCTAGTATTAGTAGTCATGCAAACTCGCCCAAGGGCACTCTGTCGATGGAGTCTGCCGCAAGACGGACGTCTTTATATTTCGTTGGCCAACCGATGGTCAATCGACTAGCGTCGTTGCTACAAACTAAAGACACACAAACACACAGCGAGCCAAGACAAGATCCCCACGAGAACAAGGTTCGAGCGCGTCTGTTCTTGGTCTGGAGGAGGTACTGTACTACGCACAGATCGGGCCTGCCAGGGAGCCAGGTTAGAGTAGGTCTGCCACAACAATAACAACAGCAGCATGAGCATGAGCATGAGCATGAGCAGCTATAACCACAACTACGACGACATACCTGCAGCAACAACCAACAACAACAACTAGGGCAATAACAGCGTCAGCGAAGACAACATCGCGAAGGCGTTCGCGCAGAGGAGAAGGGAGGGGAAGGGGGGGGGGGGGGGG